TTCTTCGCTGGCCTTGCAGCCCTTGGACTAAAAATGATAGAAGTTTTCCATCTTCACCCATGTGGTCCTTGCATAATCTTGATCCCTCAGGAATAAATATCTCTCGCTTGATGAAGACGTCAACCCTAGCGGGCCACTGGATTAATGAAATTTGTTGTTGAGTATGGCAAATACAACATTGTGTGTGCGAGGTTTGTAGCAGAACATTGAACTCTAACTCTTGATGACTTTCTGATTTTCTATAAGGTTAGAGACCGCACTGTAACACGATAGGCAAAGCCGATCTACTGCAGGATCAATTGCTTCGACGCGATCTCCATCGGGTGTTCTCTTCATCCTTTGATCTTCAGCGATTTCTCTAAAGTGATTCATGTGGTTTCCTTCGAGTTTCTTCATGGTTGATGCAGGACAAGCTGTATGACAAATGTAACATAGGGGTTTACGTTGCGGAGCAGGGTTTGTTTTCATTAAAGATGTCATGTTGTGTTTTATTTGATTTAAGAGAGTTAGTGGCTCGTATTCCATATCACGATTTGAAACCTATATATGAGGTTACCGCCTAGAGCTCCCCGAGCAGGTTCAACAACGAGATCTCTGCTGATTAGCGCATTTCGCCACCCGGCTAGTGCAATCAGAAAGAGGTACGCGCGTATCCACAACTTCTACCAGCAAAGCGCCACCTGAGTTCCCTGGAGCACAAAACTCAGGCCGTTGTTAGTTATTCCGAAATGTATTCCGTTCCAAAAAATTGTGCCGAGTCGTCGGGGAGGAAAGTGTTGCTACCCTAATTGAAACAAATAAAAATGAAATCGCAACCCGTCATGCATTTAAATTTGCAAATAAATCCTTTCCAGCAAAGATGTACGTGAATTTGAACTGGGAGCATTGCGTACTTATGTCTAAAAACAAACATATCGCTGCTTCATAAATATCAAGGGACACAAAATGTTTCACAAAATTTAACTTCATGGTCTATCGTCTGTGACCCAACATATGTATATACTTTATGTGTGTGTATATATGTATTCATATGAATATTATATGAATTCATCTACATATGTGTGTTTGTGTGTGCCTATGTATGAATTCATCTACATATGTGTGTTTGTGTGTGCCTATGTATGAATTCATCTACATATGTATACATGCATTTATGTATCTATGTATGTATTCTTATCATTATTAAAATTATTCGAAATTTGAAAACGTAACATTGTCCCTAAAACCTGAAAACCACCCCCTAATGCGACCACGTGCAATGACAGCGCTTGCAATGCAATGACTGTCGTGGCCCATTTTAACCAGGGGCACGCGGGGTTGTGCTAGCCATTCTAGCATGGCTGGATGAGGTAGGGGATTGTCAATTACCCTACCCCACGCCGTCCGAAGACGGGTTAACGCACACCCGGCCTAACAAGGGAGAAAGGGGGTTGTGCCCAGTTCTCGCAAGGCCCGTCTGCGCCACGTAGGGCCCACTTCCTACCCGCCAACCGGGACACTACGGACTGGGCCCGTTGTAGTTGGACCAACTCCCCCCCTCCCCTTCCACGGAAGGTGGGTCTCCCACCCCGAGATACCCCCCAACCCCAAGGTTTTTGTGGTGCTGAGGTGCCACCCTCAAGCTCCCACCCGAAATACTGCGGGAGTGGTGCACCCCACCACTCCCACCCTAAATACTGCGGGAGTGGTGCACCCCACCACTCCCACCCAAAATACTGCGGGAGTGGTGCACCCCACCACTCCCACCCAAAATACTGCGGGAGTGGTGCACCCCACCACTCCCACCCAAAATACTGCGGGAGTGGTGCACCCCACCACTCCCACCCGAAAAATTTCCACCGATAAGCGTGTGATGTTGAAGTCTGCTACCGAAACTTTATTGTTGCGCTTCCAACCATTCCAACCCAGCTGATAGTTGCTTGTAGACTGAATCATCGGCGTTCTTTTGTGTCCCACTTTGCCTACCTATTCACTACAGTCAACGATAACTACGCAGTTGATACTGCGTAGTATCAACTGCGCAGTTACGGTTCACTGTTTATAACAGAACTCCTCTTGTGGACAACGCCGTAATTAAGTCATTCAATGTGACGTATTTTAAGTGCGTATGAAGATATTCATGTGCAAAGTATATACTCATGAATGCACATATGTACATAGATATTTATTAATGGTATATATGTGTATGTATGTAGCCACATGTATATTGACATCGTATGTAACTTGTTTACAACAAAATAGCACCTAGGTTAGACATGAAATTCTCAAAATTATAATATAATAAACAAGGGGTAAGTACGAGTGATATTGCAAATGTTGAAGCAAAAATAAATTTATCATTTTATGATTTTTACTTTATTTTGGTTTAATTAATTGTACATCTAGTCCTATTAAGCAAGCACGTATGTACGCATTGGTATTTATTTGCCTTACAATTAAGAGATATCATCATCTTTGATTTCATTGTTGCAAATCGGGTGTGGAACATTCCGGCGTAATATTTCTCCAAATGATCTAATCATTGGCAACGCAGCAAAACTGAGTACGATAATGCACTTTATGCCGCTTTCTTAATTTTCTTCGTGTCATGTCCTCGTGACTGGGTGACTTTTAAACCCTTCTATCCGAAGGATCGTTTTACTAGGTAATACGTCATGGTTCCCGAGATTTTTCGATGACCTTCGTATTTTATGTACTTTGTGATGAGGAATCGCGTGGTGAAACTGGGATTTAAAATGTTTTACTCGCCAAATTTCAAACATAAAACTTAAATCTTTAATTGTCCCGTTATTTCGAAATTTATCGAAGGATCCTGGGAACCAGCGGCAGCAGCAATTGGCCATGGAAGGTATGTATGTGCCCAATCCAGTAGCGTAGCCACGATTAGATATTAGGAGGGGGCTCGGCTTAAAAACATGATTTTATCCACAAGAGTATGGTTTGCGGTCATCCAATTCCTCCGTCCCGCTGAAAATTATGCAGCATGACATGCTATTGTTAACCGTAATATTCCAGGGTAGAAATCGAACTAAAAATGTCTTATATAGATTTCGTCGGACGGACACATTTATTGAAATATGTAGGAATTATAAATTCCACTAGGATAGGTGTTGTCAACAGAAACTTTTTGTCCCAGTTGTATATAGACATATGCGCCTTTACATCGCCTTGAAACGTAAATGGTTACCGGCAGACCTCAAGTGTATTGTTCCAGAGGCCATTAACTTTAGAAAAATATATGGTTCATAAGAATTCTGATGGGCTTTCGGTTGACCTTAGATGCATATGACCACAGAAGGTCAACGCGTAGGTGGAGCGATATTTCTACGGATGTATTGAGAAAAATGATATATCGCTTGACGTGCTGGTGTTAAATTGAAATTGCCGCCAAGGACCCCACCCCAAGAGGTGTGGTTTTTAAATTTTTAATTTGCCGTCGTAATCAGCTTTGTGCGCTGAGACAAATGTTATGTCGCATGAGATACTTGCGTTGGATTGAAATAGTCGACAATGACCACACCCCCAGTGGGTGTGGTTTTGAAATTTTGAACAAGCGGTCGTAATCGGCTTTGTGTGCTGAGAAAAATGATATGTCGCATGAGATACTTGCGTTGGATTGAAATAGCCGACAATGACCACACCCCCAGTGGGTGTGGTTTTGAAATTTTGAACAAGCGGTCGTAATCGGCTTTGTGTGCTGAGAAAAATGATGTGCCGCAAGCCAGGTATTGATAAAACTGTCGCAAAATCGCCAAAAGCCACACCCCCTCTCCCCTACGCCATACACATTAAGGTCATGGTGTACAAGTGGGGCAGACATACAAAATTACCCTCGATTACAATAGTTAATTTCAGAAACAATACTAGGAACCGACTTTATACATTTTTTCCTGTTCGGACCACACCCACAGGGACCCCACTAGAGTGGGGTGTGACCCTCTGACCTATTTTTCGATGACATGACAATGTAAATCAATTACGCAAAGAATCGGCAACTATGCTGTCTTAACTTCAATGTGGAGTTGAATGATTAGTTAGAGATATTAATCTCAGTTTTATACTTTATTACATCAATATATAGGGGGTGTGGCCGAATTAAAAAAATCTGGAAATATATATTTCGCCCAACGGTCCCACGTTTCCAAAACATCCGGAATTTTGAAAATCCATCAACAACTGACGTCAGGACAAATTTGTAAAATTTTACATATACTTAGTTATGGCCAAGTTATACTGACCTTTGACCTCTGTTGGAGGTCAAACCAGCGAAAACCTGGGGTCGGGGGTATGGAGACTTTTGTTCAGCACATCGAAGTCTACAACATATCAAAAATTCAGAAAATTCGACGGCAGGCAGTTTTCCCATAAGAAGGGTGCCTCCTCCTTTGAGAGAATATAAGAATTTCCCAATGTCTAAATTTACTCAAAAATAATTCGCAAGTAGACAAAATTTGTCAAATTATTCTTATGCTAACCCACGAAGCAAACTACCAAGTGGTCAAGAAACTAAAGAGAAACAAGTATGTTCATGTACAGTTGTAAATATTTCATACAAATCAACAGTTTGGGTGCATGCGTCCTCATTTAAATATCTATCTGTAAAAATTATTTAGCGTCCTTAATAATCAATGCATCGGCTGAATCAGTGTAAAATCAGGTAACTTTACTCATTCCAATGCGAACTTATGGAACCAATCGTAAGTAAATTGATGACTTCAGCAAAGAACCCGTTTGCCATTGAAAAACCTGGAAGGGAACGAATATATATTTCGTCATTAAAAAGGTGAGCGGTTTGGTTTTTGGTAGCCTACCGTATTTATGATAAGATTAGCATGATTACGTAGGAAATGGAAGGGATGGGCGGGTGGTCAAACTTGATAACGTAATAAATTTACGATCCCCAGTGATAAAGTTTGGTTAGTTATATAACCGCATTACATGAAAGTACCTTAAACCGCTGCTTATTTCATGCAAGAGATTTTGAAAATGCTCATTTTAATTTAGACGTAATCCAACCTTCACCGAGGTTGGTTTAGTTTAGCGAAATTTAAAAAAAATTCACTGCACGATAATTTTTTCAAAATTTTTTCTGTGAGGAATATTTACCTTGGAGAATTGAATCAGACTTGGGCATGGTCATGTTCATTAAACGAGGCGTACTCGATCTGGTAAAGTTTGCATGTTTTCACCAACTAAAAACTTGTACATATTTATGCGAAGATATTTTCCAATTTGTCAAATTTTGTCAATCTTTGATATTAGCAAAGAGTATCGACATTCTTATTCCAAGTAAGTCGTTACTTGTTCCGAGTTTTCGTGTAGTTTTGGTACTAAAAATAATTCCGCATAAGTTAAGAAAGTCGGTACCTTCTGGAAAATAATATATTAAATGTTCCAAATTTACATAATATAGCCCGTTCTACCAATCGTGTTTGTACTTTTGGTCTCGAGCAGTTTGGCGAGTCCGATTCACTCCATTGAAGGAAAACAAGGTATCAATATTTTATCGGCGTCCTGCTAATACAATTTTATTAAAAGTTCCAATAGTGTATTCTGGTTTTATACATAGTTGATAAAAATAAGGCTGTAATTTTTAAATTTCCAAAATTAACATTGTAGAAATTTTACTGACATTAATATTTGTGGTAATGTTTCGAATTTACATACATATATACATATGAACTCATTGCTTTAACGAGATACTTTTATAATAAATAATTCGTACTCATGGAAACTATAATTTTTATTAACAATTAATAAATCTAAGCAGATTCAAATCTGGACGTTGAGAAGCTGACATTCGTCCAACAATCAGCTCCAACAAATTATTTGGTAATAAAACTCGCTTATTGAAATTCAATCAACCTACATATATAGATAACCGCGGGGTCTTGCTATTGAAAACCCAGACCCATGGGTCTTACTCGGGTTTTGCGGGTAGTCGGAGCGAGCTTTGGGGGTAAACTGAGTCTTACGTATTGAGTTGTGAAAACAATCTACCCTTTCACTAATTTCACAACAAAACTTCTTATTAATTCAATTTTAATAACTTGTTAACTTGTGGAACTGTTAGTAATGGTCTATTATTACACTTTATAAAATTTGAAAACCCAGACTACCCGTGGGTATTGCTATCCTCCAAAACCCAAGAAACCCGGGTTAGCATACACTGAATTCAAAGCAGTAAATTTTCCACTTTCCTCCCTAGAAACACGAGATGTCTCTGATTCCGCAAAACCTGGCCCACTCCTCGATCCCAGCAGCAAAGCGGAAAAGCCGCCAATATAATAACATGCCGTTTATCATTTATGGCGGATGGTAAGTAAAACGTATAAAGAAGTGTTTTAAATGATTTTATGTGTTAATATGTATTTAGAGTGAGTGTTTTTTGTTTGTAACCCCTAATTTCTACTCAAATAATTCCTCTGTTTGAATGCATTCACAGTTCTCCATACCGCAGTAATGTGGGGCAACGAGGAATTCCTGGTTTTAATACAAACCCAATTGACCTAAATAACCCTATTATAAGTATAAATCCATTGATGAACTGGGGGAAATAAGATGCAATAAATTGGCAACACTGCCACACGCCGAACAACTGTTGTCAGCTGAATAATTTGCAGGGATATGGTTTCTAACGTGAACTTCTACATTTTTTAAAACTCGGCGCAAAATTGTCATTGTTTCGAATATTTTGTGCATGCTAATAACTGCTACGAGGAAAAAATCGTTAAAAAGTCAATCAATTTCTTTCCGATTCGATATAAATATCGAAAATGCTCATTTAAGAAAAATCAATATACATAAATTTATGCATATTTATGTACCTATGTTAATTTTTACTTTATATCATCAGTGTTGCCACTCATCCGTGAAAATTATTTAATAAAATGTCTATCATTTCAAATGAAATCATATTTATTCTCATTTTATTGTCTATACGACCACACAGTAATAAAAACTTCCTCATAGTTCAGGGTTTGACTCTATTTATAACTTTTCTCGGTTATCGCAGATAAGTGCGGATATATTACTTAATTACATATACGAGTATGGGTTGAAAGTTGAAAAGTTGAAAATGTGCAAACAAAATCGCAACATAGTACTCTCTTCTGTCAAAACAAGAATATTCACTTCAACTTGTGGTCTAGTTGAGGTTACAGTTATGCACATTTCGTGACCTAGGACAAGAAATCTGGTGGCTTAAAAACTCAGCACCTCGGGTACATCCTTATTTAAATGTCTAGACGAAAAAGTTATGTGCATATAAAATATTCTAATCGAGGCGTTGGAAGAATCAGTGCAAAATCGGGTACCCACATAAAACAGTATCATCCTATAACCATACTCTAAGAAATCCAGTGTTAAAGTAAACGCATGTATCTGTAGTCTGGCCAGTAATGATTTAATACCTGTTTCTTTAGAGTGCATTTAAATTTATGTAACGAATTTTCAAGCAGATTATAGATAAGATTAACCCTTTCCACTTAAAAGTGGCCCATTTTCATGCATTGTGAACAAGATGACAGGACCTGTTTCCTATTGAAAAACTTGTCAATATGTAAATTTGTATTTACAAAACCCTGTCAGAACTACCTTAAACCTTGGTTTACTTGATGTACCAGGTTTTTTTTAATGCATAACTTTTATCTACAATGCGATGACGCCAGCGGTCTCGCTCCGATTTTGACGAAACAACGATAATTATGTAACCTTACACAAATAATTGAACACGTGTTTCGGGATTTTTCATAATGCTCAGCTTAAACGAAATTATGACGTGATCCGTGAGCGAGAATTTCCATTTCTACCCTGACATTTTTCTCGTGAGGGAGAAAAATCCAGATTCACGCTTAGCGATTCCATCATAATTTCGTTTAAACTTAAAATGCGCGGGCATGAAGTGGTTTTCTACCGATTTCAAATTGCTCGCACAAATTTTGAAAAATTTTGAAAATTTTGAAAATTTTGAAAATTCAACAAACCAGAAATTTCGAAAAATCAAAATTTTTGAAAACCAGATTTTTCTTAAGTTACTCAATCAAATTTTCTTAAGTCACTCAATTTCCGTCACAACCGAAATAACCCTACCCGTATTTTTACTTTTTCATGAAGACGCGTGATTTCGATTGTAGCGGAAATTGAGTGACTTAAGAAAAATCTGGTTTTCAAAAATTTTGATTTTTCGAAATTTCTGGTTTATTGAATTTTCAAAATTTTACAAGTTTTACAAAATTTGTGCGAGCAATTTGAAATCGGTAGAAAACCACTTCATGCCCACGCATTTTAAGTTTAAACGAAATTATGATGGAATCGCTAAGCGTGAATCTGGATTTTTCTCCCTCACGAGAAAAATGTTACGGACGTTACGGTAGAAATGGAAATTCTCGCTCACGGATCACGTCATAATTTCGTTTAAGCTGAGCATTATGAAAAATCCCGAAACACGTGTTCAATTATTTCTGTAAGGTTACATAATTATCGTTGTTTCGTCAAAATCGGAGCGAGACCGCTGGCGCCATCGCATTGTTAGTTTTTACCAAACCTTCTTCGAGTTTGGATCAGTTTATCGAAGCTTCAAAAATTCATTGAAGATTACGATTTGTTTTTAAAAAAAGCTAAAAAAATAACTTAAAATTGGGCCAGACTTGTACATTATCATGCCCACTAAACGTGGAGTCCAGGGCACGGTAAAAATTAAGAAATTTACATACATATATTCATTAAATAAAAAGATTTTCCTTAGTAAAGTCGTTTATTAGAAAAAATGGAAAATGTAAATTATGTAGATCAACTTACCACTAGCTGCTTATAGATATATAAACCTTCGACTACATAATGCATACACTAAAAATAAGACAAAAATGGTAATAATGATTTCAGGGAAATTCAAATTCATTACCAAATATTAAACACGTGAATACCATAATGTATTAAATTTGAATTTTCCTGAACTTATTATTACCATTTCTGCGACAAATCGTAACCGACGTGGTAGAGCCACATAGTCATTCCGCTTGGTAATGATTCTTTACTGCCTTATTTTGAGTGTACCAATAAATATAGTTTTTTACTGAAGTTTTTTCATGCCTCAAATCCCATGGTTTTCATAACCCCCAAAAATGGCGTAGATGTGCATATTTAAATTTAAAAAAGTTACCACTTTTTGAAAAAAAGTATTTATTTATTTTCAAATTTTAGCCAGTTCTGCCAATCGTGTTTGCACTTATGGTCTCGACCAGTCTCGCAATTCCGCTTTATTGGATTAAAGGAAAATTAGGCGAGAAACAAGGTATCGAGTTTCGATCAGCGTTATAAATATTAATTAAATTTTATGAAAGGTTCAACAGTAATTTATCCTATTTTAATTTTCAAGAAAATAAACACAATTCGAATTTAATTCGAAATTGGAATACAAAAGTTCAAAAAATAACGAATAAAAAATTAAAATAAAACGAAATTGGAATTTTAAACATGCCTTAACCCTTCGAATTTTTGAACTCCGTTGCAACCAATTTATCGAGATATTTCTTTAATAATCCATACACTTAAAATAAGGTAGTAATGAATCATTACCATGCGGAATCACTATGTGTCTCTACCACGTCGGTTACGATTTGTCATAGAAATGGTAATAATAAGTTCAGGGAAATTCAAATTTAATACATAATGGTATTCACTTCCTTAATATTTGGTAATGAATTTGAATTTCCCTGAACTTACTATTACCATCTCTACGACAAATCGTAACCGACGTGGTAGAGCCACATAGTCATTCCGCATGGTAATGATTCATTACTACCTTATTTTGAGTGTAGAAAACTCTATTTATGGCCGGATACAAGCACCGATCCGGCAACAATTACACTCTTAGCCGGGACGGGGAGCCCACATGACTTAACCAAGTTGCGATAATATTTTACCCCACATTGTGACAAATCTTCCCCACAATGTGGTAAATCCTCACTATCCAGTGTTACGTTTACACATTGTGGGGAAGATTTGTCACAATGTGGGGTAAAATATTATCGCAATTTGGTTAAGTCATGTGGGCTCCCCGTTTTGCTAAGGGTGTACAAACCGGGTATAATTGGAGACCCGGCTAAATTTTTCCGGTTATATGTATTTACACAACGTGAAGCATTTAAGAACAGACATTAAACAAAGGTCATTATTTGAGACAATTAATTTTTTTAAACTTGTGCTATATATAGTGTAAGTACTCTATTTATAACCCTATTCTGTTTATAGCCGGGTCTCAGACCAAGAAATTTCAGCCGGGTTTCTATATTTATGTACAGCCGGGCCATTATGTAATTAAGCCTGTCTTGTCTAAATTCGCAGCTTCTTCAAGAAAAATGCTGCATATTCGGCTAATCAACCAATAAGGCTAAAGATAATAAACTATTCGTTTAATTTTTTAAAAGAATGAACACAATCGCGACCAAAAATTAAACCAAACTAGGCTCAAATGAGATGATTTAGAATTAAATTTCAAGCGAATAATTTACTGGTATGTAGTAATCCTACCGTAGCATGTTAAATAGAAAACTCAAGTTGAGTTACCATGAATTCTACACGATCTTACAATGCATATCGTCGTACTAGTTCATAAAAGACCTAAGTGCAGTCGATGCTTAATTCAGAAAAGACCTAAGTGAACAGAAAAAAGGATGAAAAGACCAATGTGCAAGTATGTATTTACTTATGGCTAAATCGCGCGATATGTTAAGACTCGTTTTGGTAAGATATACATAGCCATAAGTAAATATGTAGATACTTGCACATAGGTCTTTTCATCCTTTTTTTCTGTTCACTTAGGATTTTTCTGAATTAATTTATACATCGACAGCACCTAGGTCTTTTATGAATTAGTATAATGCATATTTAGAAGTATGGCAGAACAAAATTTACCCGGATCTGTAATTGTTGCCGGGTCTGCGGTACTCATCCTCAGTTTTGAATATTGGCACCGGCTGCGAGTAGAGTATTTACGGTACATATATAATTTTTTCTCTCAAGGACCAGTGGCGCAAATAGCGCATAGGCAGGGTAGGCAATGCCTAGGGGCCCCGCGCTAGCGGGGCCCCCGAGTGGACACAGTATCAAAATCTAAATATCTTGTTTCAAAATAACTTGATCTTCAAAATCTTTGAAATAGAAGTTATTTCATATCATTTTATTAGTTACGTAATTTACATATGTAATTAGTATGTTGTACTTGTGATTCTATTTTTGAGTTGATAGCCCAATTTGGAAGTCAACAAATGCTAAGAATATCAATTTAGCACGAGTTGGTGACTAAGTTTAGTGAATTTAAGCCCAACTAATTTAGAACTCATCGGCAACACTAATTAAATTATTCAAAAATTCATAACCTTGTTAAAAATGCAGGGAAATGTGCGAAAATATATGTCAAGCTCAGGATGATTTGAACTCAAGAAACTAAACGACAATTGAAAAAAATATTACAAAAAAAACGAGTTGTAAGGAAAAAACAAATACCTTTGCCCTTTAAACTTTATAGAAATTTCGCAAAAATATTAAACAGATTAAATTATCATCTTTCCAACCACTAATCTGGGAACTGGGAACATCTCGAGTCCAACGAGTTTGAGGTCGATACCCGGAAGGAGAAGTTAGGCTCTGAACGTTCTGGTCGAACACATGTCCTCTTCGAAAATTAACAGAATTCTTTTAAATTCTTTTAAACCAGTCTTAAAGTTGCTCCAATCGACAGATCTTCGAACCTTGATCAAAATTAATATACCATTTACCTATCTACGGCACTTCAGTACAAAGTTACAGTCGTTCAAACATCGAGATTTTGAGTTCTGCGCCGACTTTGCGACCATGTCGCGCACAACGCGACCCACTTTAGGGGTTCTATGAGGTGATATCCGAAGTAATCCAGGCCATAGTATCATCCTCAAAAAGAAAATTGACCGGGTCTCGTCTAGTTTAGGTACAGGAATTTTTTGAAAGTCGTGAAAAATATAGCCGAAATAGGCTAGATCTGCACACTAAATAATATTTTACTATTTTTTAACCAATTAAAAATATTCATTCAAGTGTAGTTGAAAGGCGCTTATTAAACACTGACTTATCCAACGATGAGAGTAACTTTTAAATTGGTTTGTATACAAATACGAACTCCTTATTCGGACTCCTTGCAATTCTAAAAATAGTAAAATATTATTTAGTGTAGTAGTGTAGTCACTACACTGTAGTGTAGTTTATTTTTACAGAAATCGAGAAATCTGAGAAACTACGCCACTGCCAGTCTCAAATTGCCTCAAGTTATTCTGGCGGGGGAATCAGAGACTGGAAGTAGCGTAGTCTCTCAGATTTCTCAATTTTGGCAAAAGATCAACTGTGTGCGAGTGGGGTGTAATTGTTGCTTATTTAAATTTAAATATTTTCCAACATCATTTCATCCTTGAAGATTTATTTATGTAGAAATTTGTAGCAAATTTAATAAACTAAATAAATTTAAATTTAATCGACGAAGTACATAAATTTGAGCAAATTGTGTCGCATATTCAAAATTCACATTCACACTTGCAGGTGGTGTTACACGATGTACTGGTCAATCGGTAAATCGGTTGGTAAATCGGTTTTTAACTGCGTCTTACTCTGCTCCTGAAACAAATTTGTCTTCATCTCCACGTGAAATTTCAAATCTTGCGATGTCACGTGCCTCTCATCACAAAATGCTGGGGAGACATTACTCTGAAATAATAAGATATTTCACTTTTTTAAACCTTTTAATTTATAGTGTTAACCTAATATCTACTCAGGACGGATTTTTCCCGCGATACGACAGGTTCTTGGCTTTGTATTAAATTACCCCTCCACTAGAATTACTTGAATTTTACTAGAAATTGTACAAAAAATGTAAAAAATTAGTAAAGCCCCATAAATATTTTCTTTTTTAAGTACTTAGCTTTTCGAAGAAGAAATCTGTCCTGAGTACTTTCGCTTTACGAAACACTTGAACCAAAATGATATTAGAAAGTTTAAATGGTTTAAAATACACTAAATTATTTAGAATCCATTTTTTAGAAGAAGTCAGGTTTTACATACATTTTTGAAATCGCCATAACTTACAGCTTGTAAGTACATATTCATTCATAATTGATTACTAGTTTTTTGGAAACTTACATGTTACACGATCCTGCGCGGATTTTAATTTCACCAGAACTTCTTCCAATATGACGATACAGTCGGAATGAACGGCAGGATTGACACTACCGTTGGCAGTGTAAATACCGTTACGACCAACTCGAATTTCTGCAGAAATTCAAGAACGATTACCGTAAAAACTCAAATAAAGGGTGTTAATAAAGTCCGATCCCATGAATTTTTTGGAGCGCGGTTGTTACAAATTCAGCTGGAACTTTTGAAACAGTGAAGTTATTTATTTCAAATTTTTACCATGGGAGGAACAACTAAACGTGTAAGTCATGAGCATCTTAGAGTTAAGATACAAACATTGCATCAGCAGGGGTTTAAACCTGCAGAAATTGTGCAAAAATTGGGCTGCAGCCGCAGAACTGTTTGGAAATGGAAGAACAAAAATTTTGTCCACGACAAAAAGCGACCCGGGCGACCCAGAAAGGTGTCACCTACCACAAAGAGAATGATTAAAAACAGACTTTACAAGAAAACCGGTAGTTCATTACGTAATTGTGCAAGGGAGTTAAATGACTCAAAACGCTATAAAGAGAAGAAGAAGCAAATTAACTATGTGACCGTGCAAAAATTTGTGAAATCTACGAGGTGGGGTCACACAGCTTACAAACTAACCAAAAAACCTCTCATGTCACAAAAAAATATCGATGACCGTCTGAAATTTGGAGAACTCCTTCAGAAAAGTGGCCATTTGAGTGAAAAAAGACTTGGTGAAGAATTGCGCAGTCACATCCTTTGGACTGACGAATCTATTATTGAGCTATATCCAAAATTGAACCAACAAAATGTTCGTTACAGGACAGAAAACAAATCGGATGTACCATCAAGAGCAGTCCCAAAATTCGGGCTTAAAGTTATGGTAGCGGGTGGATTTTGTGCACGTGGCGTGACTCCTCTACATATCATACCAAAAGGCCAAACAGTCAATGCAAAGTATTATATGGAAAAAATATTACCTATCTATTTCGATAGCATGGGGAACAAGGAAATATTTCCGAATGAAAGAAAAATAGTTTTCATGCAGGATGGTGCTACAGCCCATACAGCAAAAGCGAGTTTGAGTCTCATCAAGACGCAAGTTTCAACGGTCTGGAGCAAGGGGGTGTGGCCCGGAAACAGCCCAGATTTGAATCCCCTGGAGAACCTGTGGTCCATACTTAAGGAAAATGTATACAAAGAACCACAACCCCGGACGAGGGAAGAGCTAGTAAAAAAAGTTCAAGATGTATGGAATTCGATTCCCACAGACACATTGGAAAAATTAGCACAGAGCCTTAAACAAAGAGTTGAGGGCATGGTTAAAGTAAATGGTAACAAGACCAAATACTAAGGTAAATATGTCGAACATTTTTTGTAAGTATCACGGGTAGTTTTTTTTATACTAGCCTTCACTTTTTTATAGGAAAAATGGGATCGGACTTTATTAACACCCTTTAGTAGCCGGGGGCTACTATTTAAAAAATCGGTGGCTGGGACCCGGCTACTATTTGAGCAAGGCTACTATTTCGGCACGGTCACTATTTATAAAATGACGGAAAGATGCACGGCTACTATTTCCACACAGTATTAAATTTTGTTTCCAGAATCAAGCTCAAATTAAATTTTAATAACAGCACCAAATTCTCCCTTAGATTCGTATTAGATGACAATTCTATAGGTTAGGCCTGCTCTTAATTTTAATAATTTCTCCGATAAGCCGAATTTCGTGTTAAATTCGATTTTGTATAACGGAGATTAAATTGAATCGTGATTTAAGTACTTAAATGAGCTGGCTAGGAGATGACTGCTTGTATGTATGGACATTGGAAATTGACGAACGTCTATAATTAGAATAAGGCTACTATTTGAGCATGGGCTACTATTTGAGTTTTTACGGTAATTCTAAAATATTATTTGTCTGTAAATGTACACCCGGTATACAAAAGTATTGGTTATTTGCATATTTGTAATTTTGGAATGATTCCGTGCACTTAGAGCTTCGGAACTCTGCACGCAATTACATAAACTAATTGGCGACTAATCGCTCGTCGCCGATTTTTAAAGTCGTCGACAGGTCAAAGGTCAGAATTTTTTTAGCACTTAAAAATGAGAGGCCAAAAACAAAAGTCCATGGATAATTTTTTTTTTGACTTTCTAATATTTTTTATTGGAAACTGCAAGGTCTTACGAAGAAAATGAGCTATCGTACGAACGTGTACGATTTTTTTGACGCCCACAGGAATTTTTCGCCAAAAAAGTTTTTGAGGCCTAAAATCGCGACCGCGGCGAAATTTAAAGAATTGAAATATACAAAAACATATAGAAAGTGCATATATGCTGTATGTATGTATGGTTAAGTACGACAGTGTCAAATTTTGAAAAAGTTTAACCTAACTTTAAACATTTACGTCACAATTGCATGAGTGAGTGAAATGAAATGAGTATTAGAGAAAGTTAGTAAATGTGAACTACAATTTGAAGTAAGAAATCGGGATGACTGACTTTTGAATGAAAACCAATTTTTGGCCGGATATGATTGTGCCATGCTCACTCTAAATAATTTTTTGATGATATTGTTACCGGCGGAGGTGCTATGAAATTCTACCGCTTCGGTAATAAACAAATTATCACCGAAGGGTAATATATATGCAGAGGCTAAATCCTGCTCCGCCCCCAATGTCAACGCTCAGGTCTCAAAAATATAACCGATACCGAAGGCAATTTTTTACCCTCAGAAGACCACTTGTTACTCTAGTGTTACCACGCGGTAGTAACTCCGCCGATAACAATTATGTCAAAAAATGATTGAGAGTGCTAGTTTTTAGGGGAATGTTACACATTTTTATTGAACATTCAACTCAACCTCACCCATACCTGTTCACTTTCACTCATGTCACTCATTATGATAGAGAATGATAATGAATGCAAATTAATTTCCTGTGATTCGAATGAAAATGAGTGAAAGATTCAGTAATTACAGATAAGTGACTGTGAATGAAGGGACTTCTCACTCCTTTAATTTTTCACCTATGCTTAATACACGGGGCAAGGTAAGAAATGAAGTCAGATGAAGTGAAATAAAATGATTTTGAAAGAAAATGACTTAGTCTGAATGAAAATCTTCAGTCAGAAATCTGAATGACTGAACTTTGAATGAAAAAAGTTTTTTTTGAACAGGTATATGACCTCACCTCGTATTTCTCTTCGGAGCGAAATATTGGCCTGTTTAAGATTTCTCACGTACAAAATAATCCTCCACGTGGTGCTGGTTATTCCAACGAGAGAAAGTAGGACAAAGAACATGGACCATGCGAGAAATAGTAACGTGTCGCGCGATACGTCCTCCTTCGCGGCGAGTTTGAATAATACCTCGCGCCCCGACCCGACCGTCCAATGGCCCACAATCCCGCCGAACAGGAAGCAGTAGAAGACCAGGTCGACGAGTTCAATTTCCTCAAAGTCGACGTTTTTCGGTTCCAACTTGAATAAAAAATTGCAAAATGTGATTTCAGAACTATTGTTATTTTTTGCAAATTTACCCAGCAATTAGCTATGTTTTTATTTAGCTGAACTATTTCACAATCTTTTACCCATATTGAAAGCTTTAGAAATTATTTGTGTCGACTATGGAAAAATGGGGTGGCAGAACTTTTGTACAGATTTGCGAAATTAGCAAACTCATATTTTGCCAATGCTTCAATAACAAATTTTATTGAACTTGGCAAGTTTGTAAATTGAGTTGCTTTTCGAAAGAAGCCGAGCTCGTGAGCACACTCAATATTACAGTTTTAAAAGTAAATGAATTTTTGAATTAGAGATTAACTAAATTATACAAATTCAATTATATAAATATTATTTTACCTTTTTTGATTTCATTTTGATTAATCGAGTAAAATGTTCTGACCAGTTTCCAACAAAGCTTACGGGAAGACTGAGCTCAAAATGTTCAGAAATTCGACTGAATTTTAACTCAACTTTCTAATCTAAATGCTCTTTGTGGGCATGCACACGTGGTGTCACTAATTTTTTAAGGGCCTAAAAACTTTTTGTTTTACACATTTTAGTAGTACAAATGAAACAATGTGTTTTAAAGGATTGTACAAGTGTGACAAGAAGAGCTTCATCCTTTATGCAGGGTCCCTATTCAAACTTAAAACGACCCTTTTCAGGTAGTCTAAAGCTTAAGGCTTTTTGTACTCTGCTGGGGTCGAACCCACATTTTCTCCATTTGGGGATTATTTCGATCAATGTTGACATTCTCAGCTACATACATACATCATCCGAGTTTATCAAAAATCCGTGCTCATAAATTTAGGTTTACTGTATACTCACTTGAGTTTTAGCGTTTTCAAATATGAAAATATGCTGTCGTACGAAGCCATGCCAGTTGTGCTTTAAATATAATTTTTCATTATCCATGTACCTAGCTGCTCTAAGTTTTAAAAAGTTAATTAAACTGCCAAAAGTAGTACTAGCATCAAATCCCTAATCCCTAAGCAACTCTTCAAAGTTCACAAACCTTGGGTTCATGAGGTATGCATGTAAATATGTGCACGAGATCCCTTTCCACGAAACAAAGAATAACACCCTTTTATACATAAATATCGAGATACTTATAATTTTGTGATGTTAGAGAAAAGAAATACTTGGTACATATGAATGCATTTATACTCTAAAAAAACTTTGATAGGAATTATCTTTAATAAAGTACAAATTTTGCTAAAATAAAACCAAGTGCCGCCTACAAATTAAACAAATTTAAGGTTAAATTTTAAATAAGTTTATTGGCGATTTAATAGATAAGTAGCTACGTAAGTACGAGTAGTTAAAATTTTCTGACAAATTACAACTAATTTAAACATAAATAATTTCTCAAATTTAAATATCGGGTCATTCTAAATACAAAGGGCGAGTGGAGATGATTTAAATAAATTCTATAAGATTTAAAAATAAACTTTTCAATCTATTTGACCCTCTGCTAAATACAGTCGCGGCGGAGGTTTGGGAGGCGGAATTAGCAGTATATGTATGTAGGTTTGGAGGAGGAGGGACTTATTAAATTTCTGGGGGGGACAATGTCCCCCTGCTTCCACTGCCAACACTTAAATTGCTCCCATGACCTGGTATCTTGTCAAATTCGGAAAAATGGCGGTCACCTTGTCCCTAAATTCGGAAGTATTCCTAACCTCGTCACACCTACAATTTACCTGCCCCGCAGCCTCACAGGCCTCCCCCATCACCCCAATCGTCCTAAAAGTATCCCCCGGGGGGAGCGGAAGGTCCAACTCTTTCACCGTCACACCCACTGAATTTCCCTCACGGAGGAACGAACTATAGAAAAATGCCGCGCTCGTTTCAAAATCCTCTTGACGTTGCGATATTTCTGCGCCAGACGCAAGGAAATGGTATTTCCTCCTGGGAAATGATAATTTTCTCCAAGGCGGGGAACTGTTTCGGGTAAACCAGGGTACCTGTTCAAAAATGTATTTCCTCATTCAAACTTTGTTCAATTTAAAACCGAGTGAAAAATTATTCATTCATTATTCATTTATTCAAGATTTCAAAATAATTGCTTGTTTATTATTTTTATCCGTTTTATCACAAAATTGCCTTACTGAGCGAACTTCTCAATATACCCCCTGCATTTAGCACACAATGAATAATGAATAAATGAGTAATATTATTCATTAATTCTTCAGGAACGAGAAATAAATAAATATTTATTCAATATTCACCCAGTATACAATTTTGAAAAATTTATTCAGTGAGTATTCAAAAATTTCATGAATAATGAATGAATAAAATAAATGAATCTGAACAGGTAGTAGCTTACCACTTTGCCCCCCAAATTTAAACTTCAACCTCGGCATGACCACTGAGCACTGTGAAGACATCATCCTAAAAGAGGCTGGACTCTGCCGAATGCCGAAAACCTTCAATCTCGGCATGGCTGGAAAAACTATGCTGGCTTGATTCATAAGCCAGTGTGGCGGGCAGTTATCCATCCCGAAGAATTTTAAGCTTTCCAACGTTTCCGCGACGATTTGGAGAATTTCCGAAAAATGGCCCAGGTTAAAATGCGGGTCACTCAATTCTAGCCGGGTGATGGTCACCCGGGGCCCGGCCAGGGTGGGGGGGCCCCTGTGCAGAAATTTGTGCAGAACGGCGGGCTCAATTCCGTCGGACGAGAGGACGTTCAGATTTGGGAAAAGGGTCACAATTTCGACCAATTTGGAGGATTCGGGCCACGTGGAGGAGTCCATTTCGGGTTTACGAACCTTCCAGAAATGGCGGGGTTGTTGAGAGAGCGGGAGAAATTTAGGATAAATTAGTCCTCTATATGAGACCACGGTTATATGAAGGGTGCCCAGGTTATGAAGGAAGGTTAAGAGGTGTACCAAATATTCGCGCCAATTGGGATCCGCTAGAGGCAGGTGAAGCTTTAAGTTAACCACGTGGTGAGCGTGGCTCGAAAGTAAATCGGTCAAGATAGTTGGGCAAGAATATAGAAAGTTGGTCATGTACAAATTTCTGAAGCGGTTCCCCCCTCGCAAGGGAATAATGGTGCCGGGGAGTGTAATATTGTTGGGGGTGAGGGTAACCGTTTTTCGTGTGAGGAGACGTTTCCGGGCTTCAATTTCCCACCCAGTGTTGATAAAGGTGCACGTGGTGAGGTCACACGTGGGGAGAAAGGTCATCACTTGGCCCAAAATCTGAAGAAAATATTTGTATGTAGAAATTTAGATATTAAATTAAAATCTCAATTAGGATCTCAAGTATTATTTTATTAAGTTGACAGATTTGAATAATTGTAAATACGCGTTTAGTCATCCAGTTCTCTTTAACGAAACGCTGGATAGATCTCACTCAAATTTATTTAATCCGCGAAAACCGTTCAACTACCCAAAATTATGCATCAATTTCGAATAAGCATTTGCAAAACAACCAACTAAAAATTGTGAAATGATTTATTTGTAAGTTTTGAAGGGAGACAAAAATGATAAAATACATATTTACCTCGGGGAGAATAACGGCAAAATGTGGTTTAGCCCAAACGTCACTGATTAATTCCATTTCAAAAGAACCCACCAGGTTTTAAAATACTTATGGCTCATTCCATTTGTAAGCAACACGTTTGATCGAGTACCAGGAAATAGAGGTGCTAAACCCTGCTCCCTGGTGGTGGTTGCCTGGCCATGTATTTTTCTCTCTTTTGCAAGAGAACACTACACAACTCACACTTTGTTAATGTTCCCGGCCACGTAGGAACACAGAATTATTTACTACTGTCTACACAAGCAGCCCATGTTAATTTTACCTTTTCGAAAAATTGACAAAACTCCAAGACGGACAAAAACCGCGTGGGGTTTTAAACTTTTTTGTTTCCTCAGGCCCAAAGGCATCGATTGGCTTATCTCTCAATGAGCGATTCTTGTCCGTCTTCTCGATAATCGAGTTTTTAAATACATTTCAAATTTCAGATTTTTTTGAATTTTTAAATTTTTTAAAATTTTTCGTAGCAAAGAATGATCAATGAATGAAATCTGTAAATGTAACCTACCCCTTTGAACCAACACTTTCCCGACGAAAGCATTTTTAATGCATTTGCAAATCTACTTTTAAATGCTATATCTTTGCGAAAAAAATTAATTTTCAAATTTTGATTTTTATGAGATGTTTTATTTTATATTATGCAACTATGATATGATTGTGGACAAGATATCAAATATGGGTGCGACGACGCTCGTGTGGGTTCAGATGGAATGAGCCTTATGTAATTGTATCTCCGGTGCGAAATTATTCGTAAACTCTATTAACATATATCGTGTGCCTCCTTTATTTACACGACTAATATTTATGTACAGTATGTCTCAGAAATTAATTGCTTTGGAAATTATTCAAACGTTTACATTTCAAATCCAAACTCAGTCAAAAATGTACAAAGTAGTCTCCTCTCAAAATTAGGTGATCCAGTGATGTGTGTTGCAACTAAAAAAATGTTACGTTTTAAGAACACTCATAAAAATAGTGTTGCCCTTTTTAGAGGTAAATACACTCCAAGTTTCGTATTACATATACATAAAATCTACTAAATAAATCCAGGGAAAACTATATTTACGTTTTATCAAGTTAACGATTTTGTTACGCTGGCTTTAGCGCAGTTTACGTTACAAAAGAGTGACCACATTTTTAAGGGAAGTTTTTTAGGGTATTGGAAAAGTGTGGAGGTGGTTGACCCTTCCGAGATAAATTTAGTCATCTGCATGTCCTCCAGACAAATAAGTAAGAAAAGAAGGGTCAATATCTCATTCTTAATATAAATCGTGTAACCACACTAATGGGTTCGACTGCATCCCTTCATACGCAACCGGATAAAAAGTACATATGCCAACTCCTATCCTAAATATACTGTTAAAAATAATGTGATGCTTTTAAAAAGTACTGTCACTCTAAATTCTAAATTAAGTATATAAAACATATGACATCCAGAGTATATGTACGTTACTCTTTATCAAGTTTACGGTATTTTTGATTTAGTATGGTTCACTCAATTTAGAATTTAAAGTGGATTTACTGATTCATATTATTTTTAAGAGTGTATACTTCAATTTAGCTCGCGTCCACGCATTACGGTGGACTTCAATATTTTTTAAGTCCAGAGAGAAATTTAAAAATTTTCACACACAAAAATAAATTCTTTTGTATTTCAGATTGAATTACACGACCATGGATATCACCTGCGGTGATTATGTACATGTCCCTAAACTCACAAGGGAAGTGCATACCCTGGATGATACATATGTATGTACAGTTAGCAAGAAAATTTAAGACACCTTTACATATTTATAATTTTTAGAAGATATCAAAATGAGAGCCCGAAACGAAAACTTCATGGATAATTTTTTTTTGACTTTCTAACTGTTTTTGTTGGTTGCGACAAGGCCTCTCAAAAAAAATGAGCTGTCGTGCGACCATATATTCGATGTCAATATGGTTTGGTATATTTCAATTCTTTGAATTTCGCCGCGGCCGCGATTTTAGGCCTCAAAACCGTCTTTGAGGAAAAATTCCTGTGGATATCAAAAAAATCGTACACGGTCGAACGATAGCTAATTTTTTCGTTAGGCCTTGCTGCAATCAAAAAAAAATAGAAACTCAAAAAAAATATCCATGAAGTTTTCGTTTTGGTCTCTCATTTTGAAGTGCTAAAAAAATTCTGACCTTTGACCGGCCGGTGACCTTAAAAATCGGCGACAAGGAATTATTCGCCAATTAGTTTGTACAACTGTGTGCAAAGTTTCAAAGTTCTAAGTTCGCGGGATCATATCGCAATTAAAAATACGTAAAGGTGTCTTCATTTTTCTTGCTAACTGTATGTATCAAACCGGAATAAATGTTTTTGCGCGGACCGATATTTTTCAGGTACTTGTTTATTAACTTAATAAGGGTCACTCTGCATATGTACTGATAGACAGTTAGGGTGAAAACGAGGTCACCAACCTGTCCATCTTTCAGACACAGCAACCGAAGAGCCTGCTTTTGTGTACATTAACGTCTATTTTGCGGTTTTTGACAAAATTCATGATTATGTAAAAAGCACGCATGTGTTTATGCATCTACTTTGTTTATTTTCCCAGTTTTAATAATCCTGTAAAGTCACGCAGGTAATGATATCTCGGTAATAAATTTGGTAATAATGTTTTACCAGGAAGTAAAAATTCGTTACCATTATGGTAAAACTTTATTACCAAGCCATTCCCACACGATACAACTTATCATTACCACTTTGGTAGAGTCATATACTTGTGCTTTTCGGTAATGTTTATTACCAGATTATTTACAGTGCCACTATTGGTGCAAAGTTATATCCAAATTATTACTACATAGCGAGCTACATTTCTTCAACTTCATCTTGTTCATGGAGAGGTTGAAAATGAAAATTGTGGTGGGACGTGATAAACAAAATTATGAGGCAAATTGAGATCACGTGGTTGGTTTTGCTGCCTGCTTAGGGACTCCCAACTTTGTAAAAAATCGCTTTTTTCGCTCTTTTCTCAAAACGCTTTTTTCTAAATTGCGATGCGATTTCGTTCTTTTTTCACTCTTTTCATCCAAAAATAAAATTATGCTAACCTTGAGTTTATTTTTAAATAACAATATTGTAAAAAATTTCGAAATCGCACGCGGAATTGAGAAAAAAGCGTTTTGTGAAAGAGCGAAAAAATCGATTTTTTTTGCAAAGTTGGAACTCCTTATTATTTATGTAATTCCATCCCTCCGCAGAAGTCTAAAAATCCGATCCCCCTTTTACAAATAATATCAATCTTTTGCATCCTTTTTTTATTTTCTCTCACGAAATAAGAAATTGTAGGTCAAATCTTCAAAGGGTGCTTATTTAATTAATCCCAACCCAATTTTTCATGTCAATGTTTGAAAATTTGTACCTCAAAAACGGTGAAAACTTTGAGGAGCTTTTGTTATTATGTAGAGACGCATTGCTGCATAATTAGTCAATCGGAAAAATCATGCTCTTAGCTCTTTTTGCTTTGTCTTTGTGTTAATTTTTGTAAAATTAAATTTGCGTCGGTTGCCAAAAACCAATTAAATCAAAACTTTTATATCCAATCAGGTCTCAGGTTGCTTAATGAGTCAAAAGTCAGACGTAGTAAAATTTGCTGACTGAAAATAATTTGACACCGTCTGGAACCCAAATCCTGGTTCCAGTTGTGCAAATATGTACATACGTCACGACTCATAATGCTGGGAATGTGTATGCACTCTTAGAAAACTGGTATGAAATCATTACCGACCGGAGTACATATGTGACTCTACCGGCACTGGTATCAACCGGAATTACCGTTCAGTAATGTTGTAGTGATGAAAAATTTACCACTCAGGAAGAGTTTAGTACCAATCCGGTAGGAAATTATTACCAAATCAATACCAGAACGGAGTATATATGTGACTCTATCAGATTTTTAACAGTGTGTGTATGCATCCTTATTTCTCCAGGCATAGAAAAGTTTAGCATGTTCATATGTACATACATATTCTCATGCAAATAAATCAGTGCTTGCACAGCATACACTCTTAAAGATTATGTTACAGTTTTGAAAAATTAATTCACACTTAATTTTAAAGTAAACTGATAGTGAGATAAATGCTCTTTATCAAATTAGCGTTGCCTCAGATTTTGTACGGTGTGCTTATTGTTGAACGCAAAGACACTGAGGAGTTATGGGTGCATTAAATTTTAAAAAACGGAAGCATTATCCCGGGTGAAAAGTTTAAATAATTTTATGCATAAAGGAGGAGGCACCCTTCTTATGGGAAAACTGCCTGCCGTCGAATTTTCTGAATTTTTGATATGTTGTAGACTTCGATGTGCTGAACAAAAGTCTCCATACCCCCGACCCCAGGTTTTCGCTGGTTTGACCTCCAACAGAGGTCAAAGGTCAGTATAACTTGGCCATAACTAAGTATATGTAAAATTTTACAAATTTGTCCTGACGTCAGTTGTTGATGGATTTTCAAAATTCCGGATGTTTTGGAAACGTGGGACCGTTGGGCGAAATATATATTTCCAGATTTTTTTAATTCGGCCACACCCCCTATATATTGATGTAATAAAGTATAAAACTGAGATTAATATCTCTAACTAATCATTCAACTCCACATTGAAGTTAAGACAGCACAGTTGCCGATTCTTTGCGTAATTGATTTACATTGTCATGTCATCGAAAAATAGGTCAGAGGGTCACACCCCACTCTAGTGGGGTCCCTGTGGGTGTGGTCCGAACAGGAAAAAATGTATAAAGTCGGTTCCTAGTATTGTTTCTGAAATTAACTATTGTAATCGAGGGTAATTTTGTATGTCTGCCCCACTTGTACACCATGACCTTAATGTGTATGGCGTAGGGGAGAGGGGGTGTGGCTTTTGGCGATTTTGCGACAGTTTTATCAATACCTGGCTTGCGGCACATCATTTTTCTCAGCACACAAAGCCGATTACGACCGCTTGTTCAAAATTTCAAAACCACACCCACTGGGGGTGTGGTCATTGTCGGCTATTTCAATCCAACGCAAGTATCTCATGCGACATATCATTTTTCTCAGCACACAAAGCCGATTACGACCGCTTGTTCAAAATTTCAAAACCACACCCACTGGGGGTGTGGTCATTGTCGACTATTTCAATCCAACGAAAGTCTCTCATGCGACATATCATTTGTCTCAGCGCACAAAGCCGATTACGACCGCTTGTTCAAAATTTCAAAACCGCACCCACTAGGGGTGTGGTCATTGTCGACTATTTCAATCCAACGCAAGTATCTCATGCGACATATCATTTGTCTCAGCGCACAAAGCGGATTAAGACGGCGTATACAAAATTCCAAAACCACGCCCCCTGGGGGTGTGGTTCCTGGGAACTATTTTATGCGAAATACCATTTTTCTCGGCGCCCAAATGCGATTAAGATGACGAAATTAGTTTTCTTGCCAATTTTTAAAACTTTATCTTTTATAAGCAGGTTATATCTACTCGGTGTGTGTCTTGTACCCAAAGCGGATAAGTTATAAATTGACATGGTCGGTTGATGGCTTTGTTTGATGCCGTTAGAACTAGTTTGATCCATCGTTATGAGGAATGGTTTGGACACCTTTGCTGGTAAGGATGATTGTAATAACATGATGGCGCAGTACTTACGTTAGTCAGTTGTCATCTGCATCATCAAATAACTCCGGAGCGTCTCTGTGGGCAGCATCATCGATAATGCCTAGGAGACTATGCGATGGAGCTTGTAATTTATCTTGGTGTCTTGCCCAGCCCATGAACCAGAGTACACTTGCAATATGCGAACAAGTTCCCAAGGTGCGAGCCCCTGTTTTGCACTGGCAATACCAACCTTGAATTGGATTTGGAAGAGGGTGTGGCAGTTGCTCTCCCGCTAAGGCTTCCTCAAAGGGTACCTCGTGGAACTGAATCCACAGTTGGTATTTTGCAGCTCGAGTGTGTCTGAAAATACAATTGGAATAAAAAGTAAGCTTACTTGATCAAGTTATTTACAATATGATGTAATACAATTATTATAAAAATTTCTACCTGGAATAAACTTGAGCCCTTAGAAGCCCTGGGCTTTCGCGGCTTAAATCGAAGCGGTACTCGCCGTCCCTTGTATTCTTATCCTGGACGTAAGCAGGGGCTAGCTTAACCTGGTACTTTCCGAAAGTAAGGTCGCGTAGATACTGCAGCGACAAATGTGGGAAAGCTGGTAGATGGTCTGAAGTCATAGGGAACCATTGAGTAGGAGCTCGTGTTTCTAGACGTTCATCGTGAACACGTTGCATGAGATGGTTAGGTTGAGCAGCTATTCTTAACATTTCTTTGGCTTCGTCAGCGTTGTAGCCAGGCATAGTTATTGGTAGATGGAAGGCATTCAATAGTGCACAGGCTATCCTGACTAGGTCTCCTAAATGCACACAGTTGTGAGATTCCACTCGATGGGCGAAAAATTTGAAGACACTTTTCAAATGACCATTTCTCGCTTCCACAACCCATCGGCTTTTGGTGATCAGTCTATTATTGTTCGCCTCTTCTGTAGGTAACTGGTCTCGCGTGGCTCTTCCTCTCACAATATTTGGTATTTTAGCTCGTATTCCTAATCTCTGAAGTGTCGGGATTGATTCGCGGTAACCGTAGTCTACGATGACGATGTCGCCCTCTTGAATCCACTGACCAAATCCACGAATATCACGCTGGAGTTCATCAATTAAGATTTTTGCATCGTTGTTCTTTGAATCTGAGAAATACGGGCCGTGGACATCGAAAATATAACCATCTGGTGCAACTATCATGATTGGCTTCACAAGATGGTAGCTCTTGTGCATGCAATAACTTTGGCGGGCAATTCTAAAGTTAGAGCTAGTGGCTATTTCAATGTATGTGCCATCAATGCACAATATGGCCTGAGGTTTTTCCGGGTTAGGGTTGTACAGTTGGTTGGCAAAATCTGATACATGTCGATGAATAAATTGTTGTCGGGTCATACTGTCGGGGCCCAGATTAGTTCTTACAAATGCCCTCATAAGTGATTCTCTAACCTTATTCACCGCCAAGCTGACTGCTTGTCGTGTCGAGTAGTGGAATATTGCTTTCAAGAATTCGTCAGGTATTCCTTGCCTAAGCTTACAAAGGAACATGATCAAGTCGATTTTATATACTATTCTATCATGTCCAGAAACTTGCACAGGCCCACACAGCTCGTACAAGTTTCTGAACTGATCTTTGCTTAATGAGGTGATGCTAAAGAAATCATTGTCTGCAATTGTGTTTTCGTCATTGTAGTCTGGCGCTTGGTTACGGATTGCATTCGTGCGGAGCACACTGAACCACCGTTGGATTTCAATAGGTGACAACTTGATAGTTCTTCGCTGGCCTTGCAGCCCTTGGACTAAAAATGATAGAAGTTTTCCATCTTCACCCATGTGGTCCTTGCATAATCTTGATCCCTCAGGAATAAATATCTCTCGCTTGATGAAGACGTCAACCCTAGCGGGCCACTGGATTAATGAAATTTGTTGTTGAGTATGGCAAATACAACATTGTGTGTGCGAGGTTTGTAGCAGAACATTGAACTCTAACTCTTGATGACTTTCTGATTTTCTATAAGGTTAGAGACCGCACTGTAACACGATAGGCAAAGCCGATCTACTGCAGGATCAATTGCTTCGACGCGATCTCCATCGGGTGTTCTCTTCATCCTTTGATCTTCAGCGATTTCTCTAAAGTGATTCATGTGGTTTCCTTCGAGTTTCTTCATGGTTGATGCAGGACAAGCTGTATGACAAATGTAACATAGGGGTTTACGTTGCGGAGCAGGGTTTGTTTTCATTAAAGATGTCATGTTGTGTTTTATTTGATTTAAGAGAGTTAGTGGCTCGTATTCCATATCACGATTTGAAACCTATATATGAGGTTACCGCCTAGAGCTCCCCGAGCAGGTTCAACAACGAGATCTCTGCTGATTAGCGCATTTCGCCACCCGGCTAGTGCAATCAGAAAGAGGTACGCGCGTATCCACAACTTCTACCAGCAAAGCGCCACCTGAGTTCCCTGGAGCACAAAACTCAGGCCGTTGTTAGTTATTCCGAAATGTATTCCGTTCCAAAAAATTGTGCCGAGTCGTCGGGGAGGAAAGTGTTGCTACCCTAATTGAAACAAATAAAAATGAAATCGCAACCCGTCATGCATTTAAATTTGCAAATAAATCCTTTCCAGCAAAGATGTACGTGAATTTGAACTGGGAGCATTGCGTACTTATGTCTAAAAACAAACATATCGCTGCTTCATAAATATCAAGGGACACAAAATGTTTCACAAAATTTAACTTCATGGTCTATCGTCTGTGACCCAACATATGTATATACTTTATGTGTGTGTATATATGTATTCATATGAATATTATATGAATTCATCTACATATGTGTGTTTGTGTGTGCCTATGTATGAATTCATCTACATATGTGTGTTTGTGTGTGCCTATGTATGAATTCATCTACATATGTATACATGCATTTATGTATCTATGTATGTATTCTTATCATTATTAAAATTATTCGAAATTTGAAAACGTAACATTGTCCCTAAAACCTGAAAACCACCCCCTAATGCGACCACGTGCAATGACAGCGCTTGCAATGCAATGACTGTCGTGGCCCATTTTAACCAGGGGCACGCGGGGTTGTGCTAGCCATTCTAGCATGGCTGGATGAGGTAGGGGATTGTCAATTACCCTACCCCACGCCGTCCGAAGACGGGTTAACGCACACCCGGCCTAACAAGGGAGAAAGGGGGTTGTGCCCAGTTCTCGCAAGGCCCGTCTGCGCCACGTAGGGCCCACTTCCTACCCGCCAACCGGGACACTACGGACTGGGCCCGTTGTAGTTGGACCAACTCCCCCCCTCCCCTTCCACGGAAGGTGGGTCTCCCACCCCGAGATACCCCCCAACCCCAAGGTTTTTGTGGTGCTGAGGTGCCACCCTCAAGCTCCCACCCGAAATACTGCGGGAGTGGTGCACCCCACCACTCCCACCCTAAATACTGCGGGAGTGGTGCACCCCACCACTCCCACCCAAAATACTGCGGGAGTGGTGCACCCCACCACTCCCACCCAAAATACTGCGGGAGTGGTGCACCCCACCACTCCCACCCAAAATACTGCGGGAGTGGTGCACCCCACCACTCCCACCCGAAAAATTTCCACCGATAAGCGTGTGATGTTGAAGTCTGCTACCGAAACTTTATTGTTGCGCTTCCAACCATTCCAACCCAGCTGATAGTTGCTTGTAGACTGAATCATCGGCGTTCTTTTGTGTCCCACTTTGCCTACCTATTCACTACAGTCAACGATAACTACGCAGTTGATACTGCGTAGTATCAACTGCGCAGTTACGGTTCACTGTTTATAACAGAACTCCTCTTGTGGACAACGCCGTAATTAAGTCATTCAATGTGACGTATTTTAAGTGCGTATGAAGATATTCATGTGCAAAGTATATACTCATGAATGCACATATGTACATAGATATTTATTAATGGTATATATGTGTATGTATGTAGCCACATGTATATTGACATCGTATGTAACTTGTTTACAACAAAATAGCACCTAGGTTAGACATGAAATTCTCAAAATTATAATATAATAAACAAGGGGTAAGTACGAGTGATATTGCAAATGTTGAAGCAAAAATAAATTTATCATTTTATGATTTTTACTTTATTTTGGTTTAATTAATTGTACATCTAGTCCTATTAAGCAAGCACGTATGTACGCATTGGTATTTATTTGCCTTACAATTAAGAGATATCATCATCTTTGATTTCATTGTTGCAAATCGGGTGTGGAACATTCCGGCGTAATATTTCTCCAAATGATCTAATCATTGGCAACGCAGCAAAACTGAGTACGATAATGCACTTTATGCCGCTTTCTTAATTTTCTTCGTGTCATGTCCTCGTGACTGGGTGACTTTTAAACCCTTCTATCCGAAGGATCGTTTTACTAGGTAATACGTCATGGTTCCCGAGATTTTTCGATGACCTTCGTATTTTATGTACTTTGTGATGAGGAATCGCGTGGTGAAACTGGGATTTAAAATGTTTTACTCGCCAAATTTCAAACATAAAACTTAAATCTTTAATTGTCCCGTTATTTCGAAATTTATCGAAGGATCCTGGGAACCAGCGGCAGCAGCAATTGGCCATGGAAGGTATGTATGTGCCCAATCCAGTAGCGTAGCCACGATTAGATATTAGGAGGGGGCTCGGCTTAAAAACATGATTTTATCCACAAGAGTATGGTTTGCGGTCATCCAATTCCTCCGTCCCGCTGAAAATTATGCAGCATGACATGCTATTGTTAACCGTAATATTCCAGGGTAGAAATCGAACTAAAAATGTCTTATATAGATTTCGTCGGACGGACACATTTATTGAAATATGTAGGAATTATAAATTCCACTAGGATAGGTGTTGTCAACAGAAACTTTTTGTCCCAGTTGTATATAGACATATGCGCCTTTACATCGCCTTGAAACGTAAATGGTTACCGGCAGACCTCAAGTGTATTGTTCCAGAGGCCATTAACTTTAGAAAAATATATGGTTCATAAGAATTCTGATGGGCTTTCGGTTGACCTTAGATGCATATGACCACAGAAGGTCAACGCGTAGGTGGAGCGATATTTCTACGGATGTATTGAGAAAAATGATATATCGCTTGACGTGCTGGTGTTAAATTGAAATTGCCGCCAAGGACCCCACCCCAAGAGGTGTGGTTTTTAAATTTTTAATTTGCCGTCGTAATCAGCTTTGTGCGCTGAGACAAATGTTATGTCGCATGAGATACTTGCGTTGGATTGAAATAGTCGACAATGACCACACCCCCAGTGGGTGTGGTTTTGAAATTTTGAACAAGCGGTCGTAATCGGCTTTGTGTGCTGAGAAAAATGATATGTCGCATGAGATACTTGCGTTGGATTGAAATAGCCGACAATGACCACACCCCCAGTGGGTGTGGTTTTGAAATTTTGAACAAGCGGTCGTAATCGGCTTTGTGTGCTGAGAAAAATGATGTGCCGCAAGCCAGGTATTGATAAAACTGTCGCAAAATCGCCAAAAGCCACACCCCCTCTCCCCTACGCCATACACATTAAGGTCATGGTGTACAAGTGGGGCAGACATACAAAATTACCCTCGATTACAATAGTTAATTTCAGAAACAATACTAGGAACCGACTTTATACATTTTTTCCTGTTCGGACCACACCCACAGGGACCCCACTAGAGTGGGGTGTGACCCTCTGACCTATTTTTCGATGACATGACAATGTAAATCAATTACGCAAAGAATCGGCAACTATGCTGTCTTAACTTCAATGTGGAGTTGAATGATTAGTTAGAGATATTAATCTCAGTTTTATACTTTATTACATCAATATATAGGGGGTGTGGCCGAATTAAAAAAATCTGGAAATATATATTTCGCCCAACGGTCCCACGTTTCCAAAACATCCGGAATTTTGAAAATCCATCAACAACTGACGTCAGGACAAATTTGTAAAATTTTACATATACTTAGTTATGGTCAAGTTATACTGACCTTTGACCTCTGTTGGAGGTCAAACCAGCGAAAACCTGGGGTCGGGGGTATGGAGACTTTTGTTCAGCACATCGAAGTCTACAACATATCAAAAATTCAGAAAATTCGACGGCAGGCAGTTTTCCCATAAGAAGGGTGCCTCCTCCTTTGGGATATTTTCTTAGATGGTGACTGGATATTTCTCATAAATCACGCATTTCTCAAATGTCTCACTATTTCTCACAAATCTCACTTTTTCTCACTGACAGTGAGGAGGTGGTTATCGCTGATATCGACAGGCGACAGGACTAATTCTAAATTGTTCACACAGGAAAATACCTAAGTGGACCTGTATTTTTGCGTTTTCCTGAATGGGCAGGTTTACGCCCACAGTGGAATTTAAAAAAAATCAACCAAAGTCCGGGTTTTAAAAACGCTTTAAATTTTCGAATTTTAGCCAGATTTCAAAAGTTAAACCCAATTTTTGCTCAGAATTACTTCCCTGAAATTACAAAAATTCATTTTCAATAATTTTAAAAGATTGATGTTTTAATGTCATTTCTGAGTTTTTTACGAAGAAACAAGGTCATCACCAATCATGGTGGAACGGAATATTACTACATTATTTTTGCAAAAGTAATTTTTATGCTTTTTACCAAGTGCGGTTAACCTTTTGATGCGCATGAATTTTCCGACTTTTTGTAATTTGTCTCATTTTCCCCTTGTGAGAATTAAATTGGTAGATTTTAAGCATTCATTAATTTCTTCCATTAGTTAGCTACTAAATAAACCGTCGCAAACGCGCATACGGAAGTAGCTTCAGACTACTTTACCCCAACCACTCCCACGACATCGCGAAAACACTCAATTTCACTCTATTTCAAATACAGATTCAATTTTTTTTAAAATCTCATTTTGCCCCGACCACACCCCCTGGCGCCGAGGGGGTGTGGCACAACTCGGGATCACTTCATTTCACTCTATTTCATCCATAGATCAAATTGCACTATAAATCTCATTTTGCCCCGACCACACCCCCTGGCGCCAAGGGGGGTGTTCCAGTTGCCCCCAAAAGTTGATAGGATTCTCCCCCTAGGGTCATATGTATAATGGCGAAAACCGATTTCGATTATCTCAATCCGTTCTCCCGTTATCCTGCTGACAGACAGACGGACAGAC